TCACAGAATGGACTAACAAAGGCCGAGAGCAGGTGTGCTACCTGTTCTAATGTATACCATTACATTGCCAACAGAAACATAGTAGATCTTGTTTCCTGGTTTTAAAAGATACGTATTACCTACAGAAGTTATGATAGTATTTTAAAACAAAACAGGATCATATGAATGAAGAAGTTATTTTAAGGGTTTGACATAACTAAGGAAATCCTACTTGTGGTGACAACACTTGTGTTTTTAACAGCATGTAGTAGAAAAGATAGTATCGTAAGACCAGAGGCAATGGGAACAAACTGAAACACAGGAGGTTTCAGGACAGATTTCAGAACATCAGGAAATGCTTTTTCACTGTGAGGGTGATCGATCACTAGCACAGTCTGCCCGGAGAGATTGTGGAGTCTCCCTCCTTGGAGACATTCAAAAAACCATCCAGACATGGTCCTGGGAAAGTGGCTCTAGGTGACCTTGCTTGAGCAGGGGGTTGGATGACGTGACCTCGAGAGGTCCCTGCGATTCTATGAGTTCACAGCAGCAGCTATCGCAGAAATGTCTCTGGTGGATAAACTGACATCAGCCTAAATTTAGCTGTCAGATACATACAGACAGACATAGCAATATAGATATCCCAATATCGCCTTTCTTCCTGAGGGAAATTTTGTTCAGAAGGGATATAACCTTGGATTCTTGATATTGTTAACTCTAGGACATTTTGCATATAACTTTTTACATGCTCAGTAGATTTAATGTATTAATACAGCCTACTGACCAAGGTGAAAAATAAAAAGAACTTGCCACTTTTATTCCCCCCATCTAAGGAAAAATACTGATGCCAGATTACATATAAAAAGATCTATGGAGATTTCCTCTTACAGGATGACTCTTGTAATTTTATACCTAGTAATTTTTTTAATCCAAGGTATCAAAATAAATAATGATATGAGATTGCTGAAAGGACTTCAGGTTTGAAGTGTTATAGTGAGAGTAATTTCTTAATAAGCAGGCAAGTGTCTTCAGAATACAGCTCAGTCAGTCAGCAAACCTACATTTATTTGTGCATTTTTGCGCAAATTTAGTTAAACCCAAATTAAGTGGCAAAGAAAACTGACAGAGCTCCCAATGAAAGTTGATATCTAATGGCAAGTAAAGAATCTCCACTGCTTCCAAAGGCATGTCTCAAGCGTTATTCGCTCAGGGAAAACTCCAGCTAACCGTGATGAGGAATGTATTTGCCTAGATTTTTATTTTATATTACTAAGCAGCTTTAAAATACAAGTTCATATTAAGTACAGTTAGAAAAAGTCTACTTTCAGAAAGAAATATATCTTGGAGTGGCAATGAAAGAATGCAAAACTAAAACCAATGGCCATCCTTTTTATGCGTTGTTCCTTCTGCCTGTAAGTTTACAATACAGTGAAATTACCCTGGTTATGATTTGATGGGAGAAAATATTGTGGGAAGCAATGACTCCCCTCAAACAGAAACTCACCCAGCCCCAGGCAGCAGCTGAGCTCTGCAGCAGGGGGTAGGCGCACGCACGTACAGCGCTGACAACCTGCCCCGCAGGCTGTCAGGTTGTACGTGTACTCGGGAGCGCATACTGCCAGCGGCCATCAACCCCATCAGGAGGGGGACATGCAGTGACCAACTGCTAGCACCACAGGCCACTGCACAAAGCAGTAGTCAGACCTTAAACAAAGTGGTATCCTGGCAGCAATGTGGAAAACTTTAATTTGTCAAATCTCCCCCAAAAGCTAACATACTTGCCTGTCTCCATATATATTATTCAAGAAGGGCCATTCATCCTTTGCATAGGTGCATCAAGTAAGTACATGAATAAAAAAGAGAGATCTGTGAGGATATGCATGTACTCTTCCAGGAAAGAAATGGGTTTGCTTCCTTCAGATCCCAATACCAGCGTCCTCCCTACCTAACGACATCTTGGTGCAGAAGACTGAGATGAACCAACTTCCATATTCACCTGAAAACAGCCTCTTCCAAAATGAGTTCTGCTTTGTACATAAGCTGTCAATCTCTTCTTCAGAACCAGAATATATATCAAAGTCAAGATATGCAGATGTGATCTGTCCCAGGTTAAATTTTCACATTTAAAATATCCTTCCTCATACCTCAGACCAGCATCCTGTTTTATTGGTAAACTTTCATTTGGACCTGTTAATGTATTTGTCACAAATATGCTCCTTTTTTGATTCATTATAGATTGTCTTAGTTCTAATAATAATTGCACAGACCAAATATTGTATTAGTCATTGTAAAAAAAAACAAGTTTACTTTGCAGATGGGTAATCTATGGCAAGACTTTCATCCAAAGTATTTTATCTCGACATAGAAAAATTATATGCAAACGTATGTATGCCACACTTTCTTCTGTTTTGTTAGTATTTGGCTTTACAAGGAATTCCTGCAACTGAAACAGTGCTAAAAATGTCCTACAGATTAAGATTTATTATGTGCATGTGTGGCTTTTACATGTATGTATCAACGAGAAGCTATATTCCCTGAAATAATGAAAACTTTCAGCCTCTCTCAGCTATTAATCCTTAATGCTCTGTACTGCTGCTTTCTTTTTGTGTTTGAAATTTTTAAAAGCAGTCTAGGGGATTTAGACACATATCATCTGTTAATTCTAGTGGCAGACATTTATCTAAATCCTGTACACAATTTTTTATTTTTTAAAACTTACTCAGGCTTCCTTTTATCTGCTTTCTTTCCCTTCATAATGGCATTGGCTAAGCACTGTGTTAAAAGTGTTACCTCTTGGTCACCGAGGAGGATTAGACAGCTTTATACCAGAGGAATCAAAAGGGTGAAACAGCTAGGAAAGAATTATGCAAGTATATTGACTGCACTGTATTTTCTTCCAGAAGAGACCATATCTTCGGAAGTGTGTGAGCATGCCTGGTGTGCCAGCTGCCTCATATATTCTGGGATTCTTCTGGCATTAAAATAATGCTAATTGTAAAAAAAATCCACAGTTGCTATTGCTATTAATATGAATAGCAACATTATTTATTTTCATGCAGTTTGCTCTTTTTCTCTCTTTCAGTCCATCATAAAGTTCTTGAAAGATTTCAAGTAAGAAAAAAAAAACCTCTTCCCATTCTTTATACAATTACAATTTCTTGGAGGAATTAAAAGAATCAAAATCTCCCTTAGGAATAAACTCTTCTTTTAAGAGTTTTCTATCTTTTATTTCAGTCATTTTATATCCAGACGACTGCAGCAGTGGAAAAGAGAGGTCAAAAGGTGGAAACATCAATGCTTATGTAATCCCCAAAGAGGATTATTCCCCTCACAAAAATGGCTACTATGACATGTGAAATTAACGATATTCATTCTGTGTCTGCACATCACTTGTAATGGAATTGGTGAATCTTTAGAAAAATAGAGCAACACAAGAACCACCGAGTTTTTCCCATGGTATCAGCGCGGATAGTATTAAAGTTCAACTCAGTTTTTCTAACCTGGCACTTGCCAAGGAGCTCTGCGGAGCCTGCCTTCCTCTCCCTGTATGCTTCTGCCAACTAAAGGACGACAGGTATACAGATATATTAGAAATGGGACAAGGGGCACCACTTGAATTTTAGCACTCCTATTAGTCCTAGCAAATATGCATGCATTGTTTTCTCATTTGGACTAGGGCTACACCCATTCCCAGATGGGTAAAACACATTTATAGTGTTTCTGTGCCAGGATTACACAATCTGATGTGGTCTACAATACGAGAATAATAAAAGTATAATGATTTTCAGGCACGATGTATACATAGCCTTTGTTGGACTAAAATCACTGGGCAGATACTTTGTTACTCATTTAATATGTCGATGAATGCAATAGTCAAAGGTATTTCATAGCTTTGGTGGAACACAGCACTCAAAAAAAAAAAATCACATGCCTCTGAAGATCTACTGAATGTGCGAACTCAACTTCCAATAAAACTTTAGGGGAAGAACAAACAATTTATTACTGTCAGGGCTAACATTTCAAAATGAATGCCTAATTTAAATGGTATTTACATATCACATACAAATGCCCAACTGCTTAAAACCAATCAGGATACCTTCCAAGACATAACTTTGATAACTGAGTTTCCCTAGACATGCATGTTTTCATAGTAAATGAGAAAAATTCCCACTGAGAGTTAATTTAAAATCAATACATTATATTTATACAATAGGATTAGATAGTTTAGTACTTTCACCCAATCAAACCAGTTTACCATCAGGAAAGAAATGAAGGGATTGCTCTAAAAAGTAAATCAGGCTCAACTGTTATCTTGAATTTTACTGATTTGTTCTAAATTTAGAAATATTTTCAAAATCTAATAAATTAGTTCTTAATTTTTTTCTCAATTCACTGCAAATAATACAAGAGAGAAAAATCAATCTTTTGAATACAATTGACAAGTAGGATTACCTGGAACAGACCGCCTTGATTGAGCATTTCCTTGCTCATCGTACACATTTAATCACATTGTTGACGTATTTTAATAATTTCTTATTTTTTTAAAAAGTAGATGGCAAGATTACTTGTGTTGGTGTCACATCACCTATCTTGCTCTGCTCTTGCCTGGTTTCTTTTAAGAGACAGAATATCAACCAGCTTCTGCAGTGACAAAACAATATGTTTTCATCTGATTGTCATTGGTGATATTTTTGGCTCATTTTTCATGGCTCTGTCACCCAGATTCATAAAGAAGCTGCTTCTCCTCACTTGGATATTGGTTTTCAGTGGCAATTTTTCATACCTGACTTGACCAATGTGATTTTCACTGCTGTATGCTGACTTTTGCTATGATATGACTATCTGTATCAATTCAGAGGACTTAAAATACTATCTCAAATTTGACTGTAGATAGCTCTGTGAAAACAGAAAGTTATTCCACTACCAGGCGCATTCAGATACACTTATATCACCAATTTGCTGTCATCTGTAGGGTTTTTTCTGAATTGAAAATGAAATACTTATCAGGTTAATATTCCTACCTTCCAACTCCCAGCAGCCAAGTTCTGCAGTGCCCCTGCTGCCCCCTCCAGCGTGTCTGGATTTGAGCACTCAGAAAGAAGTGTGAGGTAGGGTTTGACTATTGAAGGGTGCCACAGCATCTGGATTCCTTTGGGTGGTTCTGCACAGTCTGGGAGAGGTCCTACACCATCCCACTGTTGGAAAGTACAAATCAGATTGTCAGCAAGCAACAGCAAAGTACTTGAAGCTATAACAGCTATGTGTGTGTGCGTGAAGGCATCTGCCCGCAAGCAGCGACTCTCAATTTTAGCATATCATGTGATTCTTCACAGAGAAACCAAATTTCTTACTCAACACTCCTTACAGATGAGCTATAGCATTGGTAGAAATCAGTGTTTTAGCTAGCTGACATAACAAAACCACTTTTCACTGCATTTATTTTTTTGGGTGGGAACAGAAGCCCAGTGAACATATCTTAAGAGGCAAATCTAGAACTTGCATAGGAAGAAGAGGTTTTCCTTTTTCACATCCTGCTCAGTTCTCCGCATTCTCTCTCTTCTCATGAGGGAAAGAACATCACCACCGAACACTACTGTGGAAAACTAAATCATTCAAGGCCATGAGCCCTCCATTACCTGAAAGGCTCAAGTGTGACAAGTCTTCCTCAACTGCACAACTTCTTCCGGCTTCTCACTGTGCGAGTGCTGGAGGCATTCGGCCATACAGCCAGCCAGCTGTGCGGTCTGAGACTCCAATGTAGTCAGTAGAACCACCTCACAACACAGACTCATCCTCTCATCACATACAGAGTTTTGCCACAAAAATAACCCTAGTCTGATATCCAAAATGGGCAATATTAAAACCTGGACAACAAGCAGGTTGTTGCACAAAACCCAGTCTTACCAGAAATAGAAACTTTATTCCAGGAGAACAGGGATTGACCTCTCCAGTGGAATGCAAAGTACTTGCACCAAAGCATGAAACATCTTAAAAGAAGGAAATTCAAGGGTGGTTTTTTTTTCTTTTTTAAACAAAAGAAAGATGTCGAATGCAATTTTAATGAAATTTAAAATGTGATTTCTATCTATATCTGTAATGTATATTTTGCTTTGCTTTGTACAGATAAAGGGATTTAGAAAATTCATAGCCTTAATACCACTGTTAGGGACAAGCCTTGACTTTTTAATAAAATCTCTTTTCTAACACCCCTGACATGTCCAGATTGCATGATACGATACAAAGTAAACCTTTTAACGCCTTGGGTTAGAGCTTACTGTGATTACGTAGATTAAAAATGTGTATTATAACATTAAACATCCACTAGACGTACAAAGATAGCACAAGCCAAATTAATTCCTTTTTTAGATCTGTAACAGTTAATTAGTTATGAGTCAAACAACACAACAACATTTGTACTGGGAAAGACCTAGAATGCCTCATTTTCAGGACGTATCAAACGTCATTTTATTTAAGCTAACTTTAATAATCTACATCTAGTTTAAGGGACAATCAATCAGGTCTTATCTAATAACAATTAACATAACTTAATTTTAATAAGGGTTTGCTATATTACTACCATTGAGAATGCGAACCACTATTTTTTTCTAAATTAATGCAGAACAAACACCAAAGTGGAAAGCTAGTGGGACCATTTAATACACATGAGCAGTTACAGACAACCAGAAAGCTGCTCAGATATGAAACTCACTGCACTGGACAAAAATTACTATAGTTTAAAAGAACTGGCACAGCAATACCCAGTGGTGGTTGAGAAGCTACAGGAAAATTGCCTCTGGAGAAACAGTCCCTTTAAATGACACTACTACTGTGCTGTGCCTTTGAGTTTTTCAATACATTTCTGCCTTTAAACCAATAGGTTGATTTCACTGCATGTGACTCAGTTCTCATTTTTTTTTTTCCATATAAATCATCATCCTTGCCAGACATGACTTCTCGTCAGCTCATAAAATATATGTTAAAACCTGCTCCTTATTTTAAGTCTCAGAATTCGATCATTTGTGCTGTCAGAATTTTTTTGAAAACAAATGAGAAACATATCTTACAGGTCAAATCTGACCTCACACCATATTTAGGCTTTGTACCTTAGAAAGTCCACTAATGAACAACTTGTGATGTCCAAGGGCACAAATACAGGTCTTCATCCGTCTCATTCCAATTTGCACGAATTATGGATGCATCATCCAACTGAATAGTGTTTGCACAGGGTATTTACTATATTATTTCAGGGACAAAGTACATACAATGTATGAAATACATCAGATCTACCCACTACATTTTTTGGTGCAACTCGAGTATTTACACTCTTCTAATCTCAAGGACTACTGAAAATCAGCTGGTATACATAGAGCCGTATATATCTTCATGCTGTACTGGTACATATAAAACACTAGAAATGACACTTGCAGATAAATTAATATTTACTGTGGTTTTGCCATTCTGCTCAGTAATGAGAAAACATAAAAAGAAAAGAGAGTCAAATTACTGCATTTCACTGCCACTCTTTCAACTCACTTTTAGGGTGATTGCATTAATTTATCACCAACTGTGGGGGAAGACCTTTTCCTCAAGACACTGTGATACCTCAGGGTCCTTGTAAGGGTGATGGAAGCCTTTGGTACCACACATGCATGTGCAGTGAAGGTGCAGTAAATCCAGTGACACTGGATAATGTCCTGCACTATTTTTCAAACATGGTGTGTGCGCTCAGAGCAGCTCAGTGGCATGCACAGAGGGTGTCACTGCCACCCAGGCATAACATATGTGCTGTGCCTATGGTAGCCTCTTCAAGGCTGTGCAATAAACAGTGACAGAACTGTAGCTGCTTTCTAGGAGGTAGAGGGCACAAGCAAATATGACCTGTCACGTACTCCCTGTCCCCATGTTTCAGCTCCTCTCTGCTCCTGCATATGTGATCCCAGCTTACCCTTCACCGAAGGGCTTAATGGCTTCTGGTATCTTCTGCATAGCTGAGACCAGTGCCTGCAGCTGTAGAACCCAACTGTTGCAGGGCATGCAGGACTGATACAGGTCAGAAAAGAAGCTATTGCAAAGGAGATTTTCCTGACCCTCACCCATTTATTTCGTATTTCATAAAGATAAATGTCAATTGCCTAAGCGGAAAAAAATATTTTCCTCAAAACAGTATTATGGTCCATGTTCTCAAATGGTGGCTAAGGCATGGCAGAATTTGCTTTGTAGTTCACATTGCTCAATGTTAATGAACCGAGGCAGCGTGCCAAACAACTCTACCCAGTGAATTACTGGAACGGTTACTGTATTGTTGCAGACCATCAGGAATGATCAGTAAGTTCTATTTGAGATAGGCTGTGGATGTAGTAGCAGCTTCTGAAAAAGAGGACGACTGCATGCAATTACTCTTCCTAGCTTATGCTAAGGAGGAAAAAAAAAAAGTCATAAACAAATATTCCTTCCAGGCTTCCCTCCTTCAGCTGAAATTACCCACATATATTGTGCTTGAAGCTGACAAACTGTTTGTTACGTGGGTGAGATACAAATCTCTCATTTCCTGAAACCGGTGCAAAGAAAGGATGAAAGTCAAGAAGAACAAAACGCTGAACACAAAGATCTTTAAGAACACCACACTTGAGAGTAAGAGTACTCTAATAAAGTTACCAAAGTTTTCACATTACTAAGGAACTTTGAGGAGAAAAAGATCATTCATTGAGATGCTTCCTCATGCCACACAACAGATTATCTACTACCTTCTTTCTCATTTTAATGAAAGCAAATCCACATTTATAGTGTAATTGTACTGAAAGCCAGGGAAGGCTTCAACTCAGTAAGAGAGGCGCACTCCCCATATGTTAGGTTTTGTACTAGCAACCTCAAGTTGGTGGGGGTTGTTATTAAGGAATATCACACGATGATAGGTTTTCCTGTGATAAAAACAAAACAGTGTTTTATTTTCATGTATTAAATACAAGTATTTTCCTTTCCCCTAGTGTGTGCAAAATACCACTACTAAAAAAGGAAAATCTAGGAAAAAACTCAAACACAATCCAGCAATGACTAAAACCATCTTGATATCTCTCCAATGATCCTAGGCATTTGAGATAGTCTGATAATGCTGTAGCTATGCTCTTTCTAACAGCAGCGACAAAATTTATATCAGCAATTAAACAGTGCTCACAAAAAGCATTTTTGAAATGTCAAAGACTTTTAAACTAACAGGCCCCCTAAGAGGACAATGATTTCTCACCCTGCACATCTTAGTGGCTGCGGCAGTCTATGCTGGCTGTCCCTAGGCCTGTCAGTCCAACAAGCTCTTTTGGAAACCTTTGTCCGAGAGATGCATTGGCCAATGCTGTCATGAGCAGAGATCTAGAGTTAAGCAACAAAAATTCATCAAAATCACAAAGCTTGCTTTCAGCAGTGATGGGAATCCATGCAGCTGATACAAAGGAGGCAGGAATGTCACTATTTAATACAAGCCAAGTTTCAGCTAAGACATCCAGGCCTAAAGAATGGTGGTGAATATAAATGAAGCTGTTTACTGACACAGAGACTACAGGAGCAGGGTGTGAGAGGGTAGAGCTGCTGCGGTCCAGCAACATGTAGTCCCAACACAACTGGGCAATTTTTGGATACAGTTTAGTGCATAAATAAAGGTAACCTCCCCAATTTGATGCAAAAATGTTTACAATTTTGGGAAAGGTGTTTGGAATGCTTTCAGAACACTCCAATGTTTTCTAATCTTTTATTCATATCTCAGATTAATAATAATCTAAATGATACATCAGATTATATAATACATTCTAAAGTAATTACCAATGCCTTTATTTAACTTTTTAATATTATTACACTTAGCTAAGAAAAATAATTTCATTCAATTTGTGCATTTTGTCTTTTCTTATAACCAGATCCCTCCCAAATAAAACAAGATGGAGTTCAATCCAGGGCCAATAGACCTTGGCGTCTCACTGCATCTCCTTCTCCTCACCCATCTCTTCTCCATAGGAAGCTGAAGCTAATGAGCTTTGCACTATATTCTAGAAACTGATGACAAATACAAATTATATTTAATAACCCTGTAGTTTTCACTTTGAAAAGAACTTGGTCTTATGTGATATTGAGAGATTCCCAGGGTATATGAGATGTTTCTGTGTAGGCAAGCATGAATTTAGAAATGCTTGCAAAGAAGTTCTATAAGGAG